CCTCCAATGAGTTTTCTGTAGCCAAACGAAATAGAAGTGCAGTCGTATATTGAGAGTCGCAGAGTAAACATCAGTTTTAGTTATATCTTGACAATTTCTGTTACATTCAATTGGACTTACGTTTCACTGCAACCCCCAATATGTCCGCACGGTCAGTGAGAGAGTTGGAAAGAATTCGACAAATAAGTGAAGTGAATTCGGGTGAAGAAGTTTCAATACCAGAAGATGATCAAACTGAAAGTCGAAGTGATTCTGCAGACAATGAGGAAACACAGGATGATGATGTGACTGCCGATGAAACTGGATATTTTATGAATCTCCATAGAGGACAGAGGCGCCGAAGATTTTTATCGGATTCTGAAAGTGATAGTGAACAGAATTTTGAAGACACTGTCACTGCTATTGATGGAACTGTTTGGCAGCGAATCCGAGAAGGACCGGCAATCGGAAGACCATCGCTTACTTTCAGAGAAGTATCAGGACCAACGGCATATGCCAAAAGAAATATTATGTCTGGTAAAGTCTCATCTGCATTTTCGGTGATAATAGATCACACAATTATTGAAAACATAAAGAAATATACAGAAGCAGAAGCTTTACGAGTTTTGGAGACTGCATGGGATCTGCCTATACAAAAATTATATGCATTCATTGGAGTATTATATGCACGTGGAGTCCGAATCAATAAATCGCGTGTCGTCTCCTCACGACTTCCGGCGCTTTAATTTTGTGCCGTGCGCAACAATAACAATAAAAATGTGTGTTTAATTTTATACGAAATGATGTTGCAAACTGTTTCCTTCAATAAATAAAGAATTTTTTACGAAAAATCAACGTTTATGCCATAAGGGGTCAAATGACCCCTATGGTAAGATTAGGTATAAAACAATGCTGGTACGTTTAGTGTTAATATAAAATTATATGCTACTAATAATATATTAACTTATTTTATTATTTTATTTTTATTTTATTTTGCTATAATAAAATTAATAATAACATTATTTTTATAATCCTTGACAATCGGTGACTATAGAAACAAGCCGCAAGGCTCGAACAATCATATCTTATTTTCCCAAATTGTCCACTTTTGCGTACAAGCCGAGGGTCAATTAGGAAGAATTTGCTTACGAGTTAACTTACGAGTTATTATTTAGCGGAAAGATCGGCTAATGAGCGCGACGAAAGCCCGAGAATTAATTCGAATGACTCTCGGTTTCCCATGGACGAGCTTGAAACCTATTCCCGTACCCGCACCGATCCGAGCGGAAACGCGCGCGTGTCTCTCGAAGTTTTTCCAAAGGAGGCCAGAGGAAATATCTGCCGGCAGCCTTGAGCGTGCACTTGATTCGCGAGCGCGCGTGCCTGGTGCGCGCAAGGGAATACGCGCGAGAACGGTCTCGTCGCCGATATGCGTTCAGAAACGTTCCGTCAGTGGTTCGGTTCGGTCGGGCCGCTCTTTCGATCTCTCGCGGTCTCCTCGCCGGCTCTCGGGACACGCACACACGTGCACGCAGCACACGCAACGATCCACGTGTGCCGGCGCGCACGCTGGCCAACGGGCCAAGCGCAAGCATCGCGCGTCGCGTCGCGTCGCGTCGCGCGTCGACCGACTGCGACGTTGCCTCCCGTGCGGTGCACCGCCGCGCCGCGAGCGGCGTTGCCGGTTCTCGCGCCGAGTCCCCCCGCAGCGCCGCGCCGGCATTCTCGTGGAACCACGGGACCACGCGTATTTATTTAGCCTTCGAACCTCGCGCACACGCGGCCCGCCGGATCGCGAGCTGCGTTTTCCTTCCTGTCAAGCTGTTCTCGTTCGGTGTTGCAGCGAGATTCCGATGCTCGGTGCGGTTCGATGGGTTTTTCGTGGAAAGGCGACGCGCGCGTGAAATACCATTTTGTTTCATTTATTTATTTATTTATTTATTTTCGCGCGAACGAACGGCGATCTGGAAACAAACGACGCGTACGGATGCGATCGTAACAACGCGCGGTTTCCACGACGCGACGCGGCACGTGGGAACGGTGGCCGAATGCCAGTCCGAGTCCGCCGTCGAGGGCCACGGTTGCGGCAGTCAACCGTGCTAAATATACCTGTAACTGTAATAACTTTCGTAACGGTGTATATGTACGCCGATTTGTTTCCTTCCTCCGACTCTTCCTTACCCTTCCACCGTGGACCGTGCCTCGTGGCAGAAGTGGATCAAAAAATGCCGCGAACCTTTCGCGACACGATCGCGTTATTTCGTTCGCTACATTTGTCTTGAGGGGCGGAGGGGAGGGGGGAGGATTTGAAAAATCCGATAAATCGCAGGAATATTCTTGACATTAGTTCCTAATGGTTACATTAAATCAAATATAAACAAAGACTAACTAAAAAACTAAACTAACTTTAAAACTAACACTACAATATAATACTTATATATATAGTATATAATCGACAATTATAGTGATATATATATATACTTATACTTTATATTTATTTTATACTTTTAATAGTATATATATATATATATACTATGATATATATATAGTAGTATAGTATAGTATAGTAGTATACACATATAGTATGTACTACATACTATATACTATACTTAGTATATAGTATATACTATATTAATAGTATATATACTTATAATATATATAATACTATATATATATATATATATATATATATATATATATATATATATATATATAATATATATAATACTATATTACTATAATTTTCGATTATTATTTAAAAGATCGTCGAGCGTTTAAATATCGCGAACGCGCGCGAAATTACTAATTCTGAGAATGAAAACAACGATCTCGGTTTCGCAGTCGAAATAGCTAGCCTTCGAGCTCAAAGGGTTAAACACGAAGCAAGGGTCGCTCTTAAATACTACCCCCGAGGGGTAGGTCAGTGTGCGGTTCCGCTTTATCCGCCCTTCCGAACGCGTCACACGTTCCCGGCTTAATTATATAGCCCGGCTTAAGAACGGTACACGCGGCACGGTTCGCAAAAATTAGAACACCCGCTATGTACGTACGCGCGACGTTCGCGTAAAGTCCGACGTTTCTGCGCGCCGCGTAGGTCAAGTTGCACGCGGGGGAGCGAATTATTTACAAAGACCCTGCGTTATCCCGGCACCTTGACCGTGAAAACGGCAGGAACACGTGTTCCCCGCCGCTGAATAATTGGACGCGCGGATCTGCCGGTTTTCAGACACCGCGGACGCCATTTTGAAAAGACATTGTTCCCAGAAAAACACCTTTGAACTTTAGTGTATATCGATAATACATATCGATAACGTACATCAATAATTCAACTGTTTAAATTGTACATAAATAATAATAAATAATAATAAATATATAATAATAAATACTAATAAATAAATAATAATAAATAAATAATAATAAATAAATAATAAATAAATAATAATAAATAAATAAACAAATTGAAACTGAAATAAGAATAATTATAAATTAACTTTTTCTTCGATTATACGTAGACTTGTCAATATTCACGAGATGAAAATGGAGAGCATGTACAATTCAAGCAAAAATAGCATTTTTTAAAAATTTGTTTATAAACAATTTAAACACTGCATTCTGTTTTCATTGTTTTATCCTAACATAAACCCAAATATGCGTACATACTAGCAATATAAAATGAGAAAGTAAGGCTTAAATATATAATAATAATATATAAAATAATAATAATAATAATAATATATAAAAATATATTAGCTGTTATACGTTTTCTCCGCATTTTTTAATTTCGCCCCCGAAATTGCAGGGCCGGCATTCTCGCGCGTCGATACGATCGCATTTGCTTGTCGGCCGCCGCCGGATGCAGGCACGCGTTTCTTTTCGCGGAAACGGAACCGATCGAGGCTGCCGGAAAACCCGCCGTGGAAAGCTGGGCAAGTGGCACGTGGAAAAGCTGGAAAAACGCGGCGCGGCCGGATAATCCATACCCGGCGAGACGCGGTGCGGCGCGGCGCGCCGCGGCGTTTCGATAAAGTCACGGCCGTACGAAGGCTGGCTGGTTCAAGGTCGCGTGGTCGTACGGCCTCCATCGGCCGAGACGATCTCCTCCTTGGATTGCAGCCGCGGAGATCGCGACAGTGTCGGGTTTAGACGCGACTTGACCTGCCTTGACCAAGTCTTGGTTGACTCGCGTTGACGATACACCGTCGCGCTTTCCTCTCTTTCCTCTTTCCCATACCGTTTCTGCGGACACGTCCCTATGGGGATACACCTTTCCCGTTAGCGGCGCCATAAGAACGAGAACCCATGATCCCCGACAACTGTGAACACGCTTCACCCTTTCCCGGGTAAACGGGGGAGATTCTTCCGTCGCCAGTTTTTTTTCCCCTAGTGGTGCAATCCTGTGTGTATGTACAGGGTTTCAGTATGTCTCGATTAACAGGACAATTAATCGGGTCTAAACGATGCCAATGTGTACTGCTTTTTGTCTATGAGAAGATTGGATCGTACGATTGAGGATATTGAGAGAATAGTTAAAATATTGAGAATATCGAGAATATTAAAAGAAAATATTTTGAGAATATTGAGAATATTTAAAAAATTGAGAATATTGAGAATATTGAAAAATATTGAAAATAGTGAGAATGTTGTGAATATTGAGAATATTGAGAATATTGAGAGTATTGAGAATATTAATATTCTTAGAGAATATTGAGAATATTGAGAATATTGAGAATATTGAGAATATTAAAAATAGTGAGAATATTGAAAATATTGAAAATATTGAGAATATTGGGAACATTGAGAATATTTAAAATATTTAAAATACTGAGAATATTGAAAATATTGAAAATAGTGAGAATATTGAGAATATTGAGAATATTGAGAATATT